TGGATTATAATTATTGATGCATCAATATATTCACCGCTTCAATGCTGTAGCTGGTAATGGTGGGGTTAATTATAGTTTCTTCATATACTGCTGGGAAGCCTGTGAATCCCCCCCCCCCCCCCACCCCCGGGATTAATAAAATCTAATTGTATCTTGTTCTATAATAATATATCGTCATTCATTTGTTAATTTAATTTTGTATAATTATTCAGATTATGCAAAGTGACTAGCTCAAGTTATCAAAACAAAAGTATGCAATACTTGCATCTGAAATGTTGTGAAGTAGAAGTATACAGTAGCAGAAATGATGGAATACTCAAAGCATAGCACCTCAAAATTGTACATAAGTACAGTAATTGAGTAAATGTACAATTTACAACTTTCCACCAGTGGCCCAAAGCAAGAAAAACAGTCCTAGAACTAGAGCACACAAAGCTACGTGGGGGGTATCATCTAATTTTAGCCATATTGAAAGATGCATCTGTTTTTATTTTAGCTGTGAGACTTTAGGCCTCTCTTCCTCACCCTTACTTCTTGCTTCCCTATATGCTTCTCTCTCGTCACTGTTCCTTTTTTTTGTGGGACATGATCACTCAAGTTTCTCTCTGCTTTTGGAGGGAGAAACTTTCTCTCTCCAAAAGCATCGTCTTCTCGTTGCTGCCATTGTACTTTTCATTCCTCCACCTTAGAGTCTTAAGGCTTTGATCAGCATCTCGCAATTATTTTCTCTCACTCATCCTTACTCCAGCCTGTCTCCTTTTTATTTCTTCCCCAATCATTACGGAGTGTTTTTTTTAGTTCCATCACCTGTTCATCTCTCTGTCAATATCCCTCTCATACAGTATGAAACAGTATGACAAGAATCCTCCCTCCCCCCCCTTTCGCTCCTCCTGCTTTGAGAGAAAAAAGGGAGTCTTTGTTCAATTTGTCATCAGCCAGTCTGTATCATGTTGGTCACACCTCAAGCCCTTCTCCTATTGCTATGCCTCCATCCTCCGTTCTTTATTCCCACTATCATTCGCTCCACAACACATCACCCCTCCCTCACTGACCATCGCACCGCGTTTCCATTATTCATTCCTGCTCTGCGTCCTATCCCTCTGCTCCTCACCAGCCTGGACCCTGTCATGATGAGTAATAGACGGAATATCTGGTCTATAGTTGTGAATGCTTCAAACTGGTTTCAGCTGTACTTACATATTGCAACACAAAAGGTTTAAATATAAAACATTTTGTCAGGAAATGGGTGCTTTTATTATTAGCAATATGCTTTTTGTTGTTAGTTTTTCAATTTCCTGTTGTGTTTTTTTTTCTTTTGCAGAGTTAATGTCCTAAATACAACCTCTAATATATTCTTAGATTAGATTACTTTGAAATTACTTTTTCTCCTGAAGCTAGTTTCAGTTCCACCTCTTTGTTAAATTTCTTATTTCTTATTAATATTTATTCTGTCTTCTTAATTTTGTGATGAGCTTGTGCGCCCTGAGTGTTAAACTAGTTTCCTGAATAATATTTAGTGTCACCCCTTTCCCAGTAATATTGTATGTATTTCCTGATGAGAAATTCCCAAGGTGGTGTAGCAGGTCAGTCACTTTTTTTCCTCCCTTTCATGCTCTGCCACATTTTCAGAGTTCTAACACGGAAAGCCACATGGATTTTGTTTTCATCCAATTTAAACAACAAAGACCAGTTATGATTATTGCTTTTCGTGTTTTGTTTTGCATTTCATGTTCAAACTTTTGTCTAGGACAATAAAATGAAACTCTGGCGTCCTACTGAGAAGTTTTGTAACCACTCAGATGAGTGAACATACGCAGGTCATACATGTAGTCCTCTGGAAGCTTATCATACATGGGGACTAACATCCTTTAAACATCTGCAGCCTGAGTTCATGCCGGAATGTGTGTGTGCTCGTGCGTGTACAGTATGTAGGTTGAGGTATCAGATGTGTGAGTGGTTCTCACTTTGAAAGCCTGTAGTTCTCCTAAATTACACACAGCGCTCTGACACGTTCTTCTAACTGGGAGTAGTTTAGCATTCTGCAGCAGTTGTTCTTTTTTTGGCCCTGAATCAAAGTGTGCCTGCGCATAAAAACACCTGAAAGCTGTTGCTCTCAAGGGCTAAACTGAAAAACAGATGAGTGTTGGAGTCATTTTAAAAGGACAGGAAGAGAGATTAAGCACAGTCCCTGTGTGTGTGTATGTGTATGTTTGTGTAATAAGCTGCAATTGTCCCATTAGCCCAGTTATTTAGCTATCTGTTCCTCATCAAACCCCACCTCACTAAACACTTCCTGTCTGCAAAAAGGGGCTGAATGTTAAAGCTTGCAGGGTAGCAGCGTGTCAGTCTGTGAATGTGAATGTGCACGAGTGTATTTGTGTGTCTGTGTAGTAAAGACTGAAAGTGTTTTGTTTGTCAAGATCAGGTACTTCTACATTAGTGAGACAATTAGTGTGGAGTATGGGCCTGTGCATGTTTTTTTAATTGTGTGGTTTGATCATAGGAGTGTACATGTGTGAATGTGTATGAATGTGTGTGCATGTGCTGACATGCCAGTCCAAACGTTTTGTTCCCTACCTGAAGCTCTGTCCCCTGTGAGGGATTATTTGGACCATATGGTGCACAACATGAAACATACTTACACCACAGACACTGTATCACACTTAACACACAAAGGCATGAGATCATAACATGGTCTGGCGCAGTACAACTCCCCCGCAGGTCTCAGGAATCACAGTAAGATCTACATTTAGATGCAAAAGCAGAGTACACACATGCAGAGATTTAGAAATGCATAGAGTCAGTTAGAGTTAGTGTATTTGTGTGTCTGTGTGTGGTGTGTGTGTGTGTGTGTGTGCATCGTGAAAATTTTCCCCAGCAGAGACAACATTTCATCTCCTGGAGTCTATCTCACACTGTCACAATTCGCCCAGTGCTGCTGTAAACACACACACACATATAATCTCACATACTAATACATATATGCACAAAAATCTGCCTCTACAGCACTGATACTCATGATATAAATAAGCATACAGCTACACATGCAAATATATTACCTTCTCTGTACTGTGTCCTTACAAATAGAGACATATACTGCATGCACATATTTACACACACACACACCCACACACATACACACACACACACACACACACACACACA